GAACTGGAATGAATAAAATCATAAAGAAAAATAATAATCATAATAATAATTGACTAGAGCTTTATCACCTTGCGAAAAAGGGTGTAATAATTTCTATAATGATCAATAGTATTATCAAAACCAGTAGACAGCTTTTCAAACATAAAAACAAAGAAGTTGAACTGTCATCTTTGGTGCAACAAGCTATGTGATTTTAAGAGCGAGGTGCACAGGGGAATGCGACTCTTCCTAATTGAACCAAAGTTCATTATCCATCATAGTTGAGATACAGYATTAATTACTAAACCCGGAACATATTTATCTGATATAGTATCCACACCACAAAACATAAAAAATGAAAAACATTGATATCTGTTTTAACAAGTTTGAAAAATAAGCTCTACTGGTTTTGAGAATTTTAAATTAATATGCAGACAACCAAAGAACCAAAGTAATCAAGTATGTTTCACAGGTTGGACTACTCTGATGAAATGAAAGAGGAAAATTGATAAATATTTAGAAATATCTAATAGCAACAAAAGTATTTGACTCCTGTGAAGACATTTAACTTATAAAGCGGAATAAAATAACATACTATGATTAATATAAAAGGAAAACAATAGAATTAGATAATTCAAGTTTGATAAATCTAACTTCTGTTGAAAAGATATTTTTTGACTTCACTCTAATGGAACATCTTGCAATCTAGAAAGTTCTGTCACAAAGGTAGATAGCTTTATAAACTGGATTATTCACTACGTACATCAGGGATTATAATTATACATTATTGTTACCTCATTGCTATACTGTTTATCACCCAAGATGTAATAACAAATGTACCTTCTTTAAAACAGTTTACACTTTATCAAATTTTTATCATATCCTTTCGGGCAAAAACATTAAAGTTTTTAGTTCTTTTTGACAAAGTCATCCTTTCAAGCCTTCAATCGTTTTACCAAGGCATCAAGCTCATCTGAAATTGCTTTCGGTAAGTCGCTTCCAACTTGATCTTCAAAATATTTGCGTAGGTTGTCACATTCACTCAACCAGTAGTCCTTGGGAAGGGAAAAGAGCTCATCCCATTGACCGTCTTCCCACTCAAGTCCATCAACATTGATTTCACCTTTCTTTGGAACAAAGCCCACTGGGGTTACATCAGCAATGTCCTCGTTRTTTGCACGTCTAAATACCCACTCAAGAACTCGACTGTTCTCGCCAAAGCCTAACAGAGAGTAAAAAAAAAAATGTTCAATTTATTTAAAAATATTGAAACATGTTTCTATTAATGTCATGATGTTGCCATGAAAAAAAGAAGAATGTTTGAGGTGTTAAATTCAGTAACACAAGTTCCTAACTCAAAAGAAACTTCCGTGTGTGCCACAACAAGCTAACACCTGATTACTTCTACCAAAAGCTTTACCTGGCCATAAAAAGTTGCCATGTTCATCAACACGAAACCAGTTAACATGGAAAATCGGGGGAACCTTGTGTGGTGCTTTGTCCATTTCTAGCCAGTGCTCCAAGTACTTGCCAAAGTTGTACCCAAAGAATGGTCTCATGGCAAAGGGATCCCTCATAATGTTCTTGCCCTTAAACTCAGCAGCCGCTGTGGTTTCAGAGGATAATGAAGAAGCAACAAACACGCCATGCTGCCAGTTGAATGATTGATAGATCAGTGGTACCCCTGTTGGGCGACGTCCACCAAACAAAATTGCACTTATTGGTACACCAGCAGGGTTCTCCCAGTCTTTGTCCATGATGGGGCAGTGGTCACTTGGGGCACAGAATCTTGAGTTGGGGTGGGCAGCTTTGCGGCCAGAGGCTGGATCCCAGTTTTCTTCATTGAGCCATGATTTGATTGTGATACCTTTAGCTGGAGGATCAAGTCCTTTGGAGTAAAACAATCACTTTGTTTTAAAATRTATGTAATAATATACAGATAGACAAGCAGGAAAGTCATCTGACTTTATTTATAATGGTTACATATCAATGTTCAGTTTTGTTCACATTTATATAACCACCCTCCCCCCCCCCAAAAAAAAATGATGTCAACAGCGATACATATACATAAAAAAAAACTAAAAACAAAAGTGAATTGTTCAGTTTTTGACACATGCAGAATGCGTTGACAATAAAGATGCCTTATTTCTTTACAATTACCTTCCCACCAGAAGTCTCCATCACTGGTTTCAGCAACATTTGTAAAGACGGTGTCCTTTTCAAAGGTCTTCATGGCATTGGGGTTCGTCAATCGAGACGTGCCTGGTGCAACTCCAAAGAAGCCACTTTCTGGATTAATAGCGCGGAGTTGACCATGGTCATCGAACCACATCCAAGCAATGTCATCTCCTACACACTCTACTTTCCAGCCAGGAATTGTTGGCTGCAACATGGCTAAGTTTGTCTTGCCACAAGCACTAGGGAAAGCAGCAGCAATGAATTTCTTTTCGCCCTGTGGRTTTGTCAGTCCCATTATCTGCAAGTAAGAGAATAAACATCAAGCAAGGCAATTAGTACAGTTAGAGAATAAGTAACTGGTTTTACAATAAAGCCAGCTTCTTGTTCAACACACCAAAGTCAAAACAAGAACGTCATTATACCATTATCATCATATCAAGTTTATATTCATCTGATTTTAACACAATGTTTTAGATTTTAATGTTGCTATTTTCATTGAGCTTTAGGGAAGCTATTTGGAAACAACTTGCAGAGTAATAAAAGATTTTTGATGTGAATAGAGTTGAGTGAAAACTTAAGCAAAAGCACTAAATATGAGAACRTCATTTTACAATATTGTGATTGATGAACTTGTAATGCAAACATACATGTAAAACTGTTGA